TACTCAAACACGTACAACCCCGGGTGGAGAAACCACCCAAGCTTCTCCTGGTCTAACAACAACTCCCAGCAGCCGCCTCAACCTAACTTTGTCCCCCATCAGCTGCAACACAGGGGACAAATGTTAAGGTTGCCAGCGCCAGAAACTGGACCGAGCCTGTCAAACTCAGATGAGAAGCTGGATAAGATCCTCCAGTTTTTGGCCGACAACCAGCAACGAACCATGAACAACGAGGCTTCCATTAAACACCTCGAGACACAAGTGGGCCAGCTGGCCACACGGGTTGGGAGCATCGAGGCTGATATGAACAAAGGAAAGCTACCGAGTCAGCCAGAGCAAGCGAATGCGGTGACCGTGATAATGCTCGAGCCTGAGGGCCCGAAAGAGCTCATCCAAATGGAAGAAACCCCAGTGGCACCATTACCCGAGCCTACTTTACACAGATTTTCGACCCCCTACAGACCAAAAATTCCCTTCCCAAGCCGACTGTTGGAGGAGAAGGATCGAACTATGATTCGGGACCTTCATGCGATGTTGGCCAAGGCCAATGTCGACTTATCTCCTCTCGATGTGTTGAAGAAAGTTCCGGCTTATGCACGATTCTTCAAGGAAGTGGCCACGAACAAGAAGAGGTTTGAGAGTGGTGAGGAGGTGATTATCTGTGAGGCCGGCGAGTATCTTCCAGCATGACTTGCCGAAGAAGAAAAGGATCCCGGAGGCTTTGTGATCACTATGGCCTTCGGGAATGGGGAAGAGACATCAGGATTGCTTGATCTTGGAGCAGGCATCAACCTCATGCCACTTGCAGTTTACCACCGACTCGGGCTAGAAAACTTGAAGCCCACCGGCATGCGCCTACAGCTGGCTGATCGCTCATATTGTCGACCAGAAGGGGTTGTGGAGGATGTGCTCGTACGAGTAGGAAAGTTGATAGTCCCCGTGGACTTCGTAGTGCTCGATGTGGGGAACGTGGAAGAGAATGGAAAGCAGCACTCCATTCTCCTTGGACGACCATTCATGGCGACGACTGGTACTGTTATCGATGTGAGGAAAGGGACGGCGAACATGGCAGTGTTAGGCGAGTCCATCACCATTTCTGTTCGTGAGACCCAGACTGAGCCGTGGGCGAATTTGGTGGAAGAATGCATGTCCATTCGGGCGATAGAGCAGATTGTTGATGAAGCGTGTGAGAGAGCTTACGCGAAGAGGTAGTTACAGGATCAAGCTTGTGTTGAGAAAGTATGCCGTACTGACCGCCACACTACACCACCGCAGCCGAGTTCCAGAGAGTTACCCCGATCCCAATGGGGCGAGAGATTTGAGCTGATGGAGGCCCACCGCTGTTCGGGGCCTGACTACCTCCACCCTCCACCCGCACCACCGGATTCACAGTGACTAGTCTAGTCACTGTGCCCTGTACGTTTGTATCTTTTTCCTCCTCTTTATTTTCGTTTTTGGTTTAGTTTTTTTTGTCTTTTGAGATTGGTTGATTATGTGGACAAACTTTCCTAGCACTGACAATGGGGACATTGTTCGGTTTTAAGTATGGGGGAGTTTTTACATGATTATGTGTCTATATGGTTGACCAGGTGTAGTTCTGTTAGGGTGTTTTTCATCTTTTGTTTTTGTTTGAGTGTCTTATGTTGAGTCAGCTGTGTGTTTTTTAGTATGGATTATGGTGAATTTTGAGATTTGTTGATGATTGTTGATGATGTTGAGAAGATGTGATGATGATCATGACCAGTATATTTTGATGAACTCGATGTGTCGTTTTGTTGGACATTTATTTACCCTTTGCGAGGTTTGAGCCTTATGTTGTTTCTTGAGAGATATTGGTCGAAATCTTTGTTGATCAGAACTTGCTTTGAGTCTGTTTTGAAATGACGTGATTGAAATAGTGATTTGTGAAGATGATTGAGGCATTTCTTTAACATAGCTCGTTTTAGCCTTTTTTATTGACCCTTGAACTTATATTTTCACTAGTATCCCGTTGAGCCGTGAACCGTATTTTTTTTCACCCGATTCAAATGAATTAATTGAGATTTGACAGTATACCTGATATGATGACGGAGCTTTCTAATATGTGTTTGGAGAAGGTTGAGAACTTGTTGAGTTGCTTTTTGAGTACTACAAAAAAAAAAAGAAAAAAAAAGAAAAAAAAATGGGAACTCACAAGACGGACTAAAAGGATTCTACTCCGCTTACTTGTGGAACTTTTCACGAGTAATGAGTATTGGAAAACCACTCTAGGAAACTTGGATGACCTCCAATGTTTAAACCTAGAGAATGTCATCCTTACGTCTCAGTCTTGTTAGGAAAAAGCATATTCCCTTAAAAAAAAAAAAGTCGAGTACTTAATTTGCATTTCATCATGAGCGTTTATGAGTGTTGCATGGAGATTTTATGGGAATGATTGGTTTCATGTTGATTTTGGATAGGTGGTGGAGCATTCGAGTAGTTTATATGCTCGAGAATTTGATTGTTTATATGAGCCGCTTAATCTTCATTTTGTCTTTCCCTTGTGCAAACTGCCTTTATTGCAACCCCAGAAGTCCTCTTGATTTACACTTCATGATTTTTGATTGTTTTAGAGTATGAATAGACGATAAGCAAGCTTATGTTGATGCATGATGATCGACCAATTTGGGCGTATCCACTTTATATTTATGCAAGAAACTGAGTGAGGCATGTATGTATTATACTTTCGTGCTTGAGAGTTTGTCTTTTCAAGGCGTTGCATTCGAGTTGTAATTGAGGTGTGCTATATTGGTCATTAGAAGTCTCCTCGGCTAAGTTGATTAATTTGAGACTTGTCTTATTTGAAACTATTATCTATGCTCGTTTGCTTGCTTTCGTTCCTTTTCGTGTCTTTTTGTTCGGGACGAACAAAGGTTTAAGTGTGGGGGAGTTGTTTGTCCCACTTTTGTTGTGCTTTTCATCATTATTTTTCTTTTTTTCCCCATATTAGGTCTTTTAGTTGGTTTTTAGTTCGTTTTGTAGTTTATTTCGTGGTTCACTCTATTTTAGTCTTTCGTGTGCTTTCCGTGTATTTTTCCAGTTTTTCTTTGTTTATGATGTGTAGTTCGGAAGCCTTGGGAGGACCGGATTTCAGGTGAAAGTTAGTCGGGTAAGCTTAATTAAATAGAGGAGTTCGTTGGAAACACACAGGAAAAAGCGGAATCGAATTCCGAGTTGAAACGAACCCAAACGGACCCGAGAAGCAAAGTCCAGCAGGCTGCCAGAGCCTTAGCGCCGCTAAGGCACACAGGATAGCGGCGCTACACGGTACTGGCTCGAACGGCTAAGATACCTTAGTGGCTCTAAGGCACCTTAGCGCCACTAAGGTCTGTTTTAAGGAGACGCGGTTTTTTTTTTGGATTTTGTATTGGAGGAGCTTTTAATATCGAACCTAGGGCTTATTTTCCTCATTCTAGACTTTGTAATTTTGTTTTTTTTACTTCTCAAACTCAAATTTTACCTAGTTTTCAAAGGATTTGATCTTGGATTGTGAAAACACAAAGATTAGGCTTTTGGATTTGGATTGCTCGTTGTTTCTTTCGACATTGGATTCGTATTTATTCGTAAGCTTCTTTTTCATTTCATTGATGAATGTTATGGCTTTGCTTCATATGAATGTTGATGTTGAGTTAATGATGAGTAGCTAAATTCGTTAACTAGGGCTAGGGGATAATTGTTCTGGTTGGATTTTGTTTGTGTGATGTTGATTACTCAATCTATTCGAGTTGTGTTAATCCTAGGGTTGAATGATTGATCACCATTTTAATCCAGTAAATCGATTCCTAGAACCGAAAGGGGAGGAATTGATCCACTTAGGCTCGTTTAGAGTAGACTTGTTCGGAGACGTATTGTCTACGTGCTAATTGATTCGATAATTGTTCGTTTATGTTTATTCTCTTGTTTCGTGAGTTATTGAGAATGAATCTCTAAATGAATTGATTTTTCGAGCCCTTTAGCCGAGTAGTTGATTACCCGTTAAATGTATTGAGAATCGGAAACGATTGTCCCCGACGCCCTAGTCCTTTTTACAATTATTTGAATTTGGTTTGAAGTTGTGTGATCGAAATTGTCTCGTTTGAGAATCAGTAGTGGTTAATCTAGAGTTGATAATCGAAACCAATCAATTGAATTAGAGTGTTTAGGATTTAATTTCTCTTTTTGTGATTGAATATACGTACAAGATAATCCGGCCAACCTTCCTTGAGATACGACCCGGTGTTCGAATCTTTCGATTCTACTCCGGTAAAAATTACTACAACAATAGAAATGTAATTTAAGGAAAAATTATCAAATGCACAATATGATACATAAGATGCACAAGATTGTTTTAGGACATGAACATTAGTATTTTATATTTTATAATTAATCATGATTGTAATTAAGTAATAAAAAATATAATTAGTATTTTAATATTTTTATCTTTTATTGAATGAAAAAAATAATATTTTTTATATAGCTCGGTTGTTCGGTTATTTAAATAAATAAAAAATCCAACATCGAACCAAAATAATCAAGTTTTTATAATAGTAATAATAATAATAACAATAATAATAATAATAATAATAATAATAATAATAATAATAATAATAATAACAACACATTATATAATTCGATCATTCGTGTATTGTGATTATTTAGACGTAAAAAGGATAATTGAACTGAAATTTAAAATTTGAACTGAAAATTTTAGTTTGATGGAGTTCGTTCAATAAGGTGCAAACTTATAGTCATTAATATGCAATTCATATTACTCCAATGTGCATTCGTAACACATGAAAATATATATAAAATATTAATGGGCGAATAAAATTTTGGTTCAGTTGGTTGCTTCCATATTGTACACTGTAATAGTCACTAATGTGCAATTAGTCTAATAATATTGTGCACTCGAATCGTAATTATTTCTCCCAACCCAAAAATAAAAATCAACTCAAAATAATCGTAATACTATTGTGCACTCGAATCGTAATTATTTCTCCCAGGTAGTGAACCACCTGGTATGAGATTACTCGCGATGCTAGCTGAAGAAGAATCCATGGCTGCGCACGTCCAACTGATTGTTTGTGAAATCTGCTCGAAAAAGCTTGAATCATTCAGCTATGGCGGACGGTAAATGCGGGCTGACGAGCGGAAGAAAAAGGAGAGGATAGTGGCAGGGTTCCACAGAGGTTGGGCCGCGTCGGAATGTATTGTCACAAAGATCCCGTCGGCACTGGACTGAGACGACCGGTGCGAATGGCAGAGGAGGGCCGGAATCCTTCGGGGGATTTGCGGTCGGTGATGTTCTGCCGGTGATTAACAGAGGAGAGGACGGGTGTCTGGAAGCTTTTCTGGTTTTCGTCGCCGGAGAAGACGACCTCTCGTCGCCGGATTTTGAGAGGCAGGGTCGATGGATGAACAGAAAAGGCGATGACGGGTGTTGGTATTCTAAAAAATCTGACGGCAGCGAACGGTGCTGGACTGCGGCGGCGCACTGCGAAGTGGCTGGTGGCCGTCGGGCTTTGACCGTCCAATTCAAGTGTCTGTATATATGTGTTGGTTTGTGTGTGCGGTTGTTGGTCTGCGTGAGAGAGAGAGAGAGAGAGAGAGAGAGAGAGAGAGAGAGAGAGAGAGAGAGAGAGAGAGAGAGAGAGAGAGAGAGAGAGAGAGAGAGAGAGAGAGAGAGAGAGAGAGAGAGAGAGAGAGAGAGAGAGAGAGAGAGAGAGAGAGAGAGAGAGAGAGAGAGAGAGAGAGAGAGAGAGAGAGAGAGAGAGAGAGAGAGAGAGAGAGAGAGAGAGAGAGAGAGAGAGAGAGAGAGAGAGAGAGAGAGAGAGAGAGAGAGAGAGAGAGAGAGAGAGAGAGAGAGAGAGAGAGAGAGAGAGAGAGAGAGAGAGAGAGAGAGAGAGAGAGAGAGAGAGAGAGAGAGAGAGAGAGAGAGAGAGAGAGAGAGAGAGAGAGAGAGAGAGAGAGAGAGGTTACCTAGGAATGGGAACGTCTAGTTGGGGAGTGGGCCCATTGACGTGGTGGTGGATGGTTGGTGTGTGATTAAATATCTATAATACCCCTAATGAATGTAAAAATACTGATTTATTTTTTTTTTTTACTGTTGGATCACCTCAATCCGATGACTATGATTTATTCTTGTTTCTTTCATTGAGCACCATTCCCACCGGAGCGCGATCCTATATATATATATAGGGGACGGATCCAATGAGACCACTCCTTAAAATGAGTATGTAAGACTCAATCTTAGCCACTCATTTTGTCTAGATCAAAATTAATTAAAATATACATTAATTAAATAATAAAATAATTATTTGTTGATTCCGGCGTTGACCGTTGACTCCGGCGTTGACCGTTGACTTTCGGTGAAAATCGTTGACTTCCAGCATTGACTCCGGTGTTGACCCGTTGACAACTAACCTAGCAGCAAAAAATAAATAACCTAGCAACAAAAGACAACTAACCTAGCAGCAAGAAAGAAATAACCTAGCAATAAAATATAACTAACCTAGCAGCATCAGACAACTAACCTAGCAGCAAGAAAGAAATAACCTAGCAACAAAATACAACTAACCTAGCAGCATCAGACAACTGACCTAGCAACAAAACACGTGGCCGAGGGCGAGCGGAATACTAGGTTCTTCCAGGACTACGTTAGGCAGAAGCGGGCTAAGTGGTACATCCATAGTATCGAGGCTGATGGGTCATCCCTGACCCAGGAGGCTCAGATTCGGGAGTTGGTTGTTGCTCACTTCCAGACCCTCTTCACCTCTGACAGAGGGTCCCTCGTGGCCCCGATCGCTTCTTTCTTCCCCACCATCCCTCCTTCGGTCGATCTCATTGGACTCTGTGAGCTCCCGAGTAGGGAGGAGGTTAGGGACGCTGTATTCGGTATTGATCCCAACAGCATTTTTGGCCCAGATGGTTTCTCCTCTCTCTTCTGCCAGGTCTGCTGGGATTTAGTCGAGACTGACGTCGAGGAGGCAATGTTCGATTTTTTCTTCGGTCATCGGATGTCGGATTCCTTCACGTCTACCTCTGTCGTCTTGATCCCCAAAAGACCCAACCCGAACTCTTGGTCCGATTATAGGCCCATTAGCCTGTGAAACATGACCAACAAACTCATTTCGAAGATTATTAACAGCCGCCATTCACCCCTTCTCCTCTCCCTCATCTCTCCGAACCAGAGTGGCTTCGTCAAAGATCGGGTCATTAGTGATAACATCCTTCTGGCCCAGGAGATGATCCACGACATCTCCCGTGCAGACTGGAAGCGGGCTCCGAATATCGCGTTGAAGCTAGACATGGCTAAGGCGTATGATAGGGTTGAGTGGCCGTTTCTTAGGGAGGCACTGGCTAGGATGGGATTTCCTGAACGTTGGATCATTTTTGTGGAGGCGTGTGTGGTGCACTGCACGTTCTCGGTCCTGGTTAATGGCAGCCCCACCGCCTTCTTTCCCTCTTCTAGAGGCCTTAGACAGGGCGACCCCCTTTACTCTTCCTTTTTCGTTATTGCGGCGGACTACCTCTCTCGCTGCCTTGACGGCTTCATCCGCGACTCTCCTCATATGACCTATAGCACCCGTGGCTATGGTCCTCCCATCTCTCACCTCTCTTATACGGATGACATCATCATCTTCACCCGGGCGGATGATGATGGACTGGTCGAGCTTATGCGCCTTCTGGAGCACTATGGCTCGGTCACCGGTCAGCTGGTCAGTGTGCAGAAGAGCACCTTCACCCTTTCCTTTTCCAGCGCGGACAGGTGGGCTCAGCGGGTCCACGACATTACTGGCTTTGCGCGTGGCGACCTTCCCGTTACCTACCTTGGTGTCCCTTTATATAAGGGAAACCTCACCAGAGCGCTCTTTGCGGGCGTCAGGCAGAGGATGATCGACAGGATCTCTGGTTGGTCGCATAGACATCTTTTTTTCGGTGGTCGGCTTGGGCTGATCAAGAGCACTCTTAGCTCTCTTCCGATTCACTTGCTTATGGTCCTTGACCCCCCTAGGTCTACTCTTGACGAGATTGACCAGATTATGGCTCGTTATTTCTGGGGTTACGAGGACGGTTCTGGGAGGGGGATACGTACCCACTGGGTGAGTTGAGACTCTATCTGCCGCCCCCTCCCCGAGGGTGGTCTGAGCATCCGCCGCCTTAGGGACATTGTTACAGCTTTCTCCTACAAGCTGTGATGGCGCTTTAGGGAGGGAAAGTCACTTTGGGCACAGTACCTTCACGGCAAGTACTGCCCTAGACGTGCCAACCACCCTTGTTGGGTGACGACAATTGATCATGATAGCAGACAGTGGCGGGGCCTCACTAGGGTCAGTAGGCGCGCCCAGGATCACATCTTCTGGGTTTTGGGCGAGGGTGAGGTTAGTTTATGGGATGAGTGGTGGGTAGGTGATAGGCCGTTGTCTAGGGATAGGCAGGTGTCGCATTCCCCCTACCTGCTTGTGAGCGACCTTTGGACGGACAGGTCGTGGGATAGGGGGAAGCTAGATAGGGAGTTGGGCTCTGTTGCGGGTTTTAGCGAGCATTTATTAGATCAGATCCAGTAGATCCCCATCTCGGTGACGGTTCGGATGGCATGAGGTGGAGACTTACATCATCGAGTGTGTTTTCTACTACCTCGGCTTGGGAGCAGATCAGGCTGAGAGATCGGCTTAATCTTCTCTTCCTGGCCATCTGGAGCGACCTTTTCACCCCTACGATTCCTGTGTTCCTTTGCGCCTCCTCTTGCGTCGGATACCCGTGGATACTGTGTTACACGCGAGGGGGATCTCCTTCCCCTCTCGGTGTGTGTGTTGTTCTAAGACTAGACGCCATGAGATCGAGACCTTTACCCACCTTTTTCTAGAGAGTGAGATTGTGAGAAGAGTGTGGGAGCATTTTGCCACTTGGACCCATATATCCCTACCCACCACAGACAGTTTCTTTGAGCTCTTGAGTTTTTTCTCACAGAGCACACACCTTAGACACGTGGGCTTCCTCATTCCTTGTCTGATCCTTTGGTTCACCTGGACAGAGAGGAATAGTGCGAAGCATAGGGATATTACTTTTATGTTTTCTCACATTGTTTTACAGGTAGAGAGACACATTTCACTCCTCATAGCATTGGGCAGGCTCACGGCCCGAGACTGGACAGGTTGCATGCCACCACACCATTACAGAGTGGCCCCTCCACTGCCTGTTTGGCCTCCTCGGGCCAGAGCTGTTGTTTGCCTTCAACCTGACTCAAAGTGGGTCAAGCTGAACACTGATGGCTTTTTTGATCGTCACACCGGAGTTGTCGGAGGAGGAGGCTTGATCCGGACCGCAGCGGCGCCCTCATCACCGCCTTCCATGCGCCCCTTCAGGCCTCCTCGAGTTACGATGCAGAGATTCAGCCATTATAGATCGACCTTCAGATCCACCTCTCTAGCCATATTTGGATCGAGCTAGACGCTGCGGCTGTCGCCACCCTCCTGACTTTGGGCCACCATGGCTCGTGGCAGATTCAGCACCCGCTTATGCGCATTAGAGCTCTACTCCGGTCTGTCCACCACAGGATCATGCACATTTTCCATGAGGGGAACAGACCTGCAGACTACCTTGCCAGCCTTGGCGCCACCACACCTGACCCCCATACGTTTCAGACCAACACTGCTCCACTCTGACTTCGCACGCTTGTACGGATGGACCAGCTTGGATATCCATCTTTCCGCTTTCAGTAGATTAGGCTTATTGCTTTTTTTAGATTAGACCTTTGCTTCTGGGCACCTGTTAGCCCGATGACAGACTTTGTATTGTTTTTTCTTTTTTGGTTTTTCTATTGTTGGTTTTGTTTTGCTTGTGAGACTTTGTAGACTGTAGTAGGGGTGTTCACGGTCCGGATTGGTCCGGTTTTAGTCCAAACCATGACCAAACCGGACCTAACGGTTAATTTTTTTTCTTGTCCATAACCGGACCGGTTTTATTTTTAAACCGACCACAATCCGGACCACATTGGACGGTCCGGTTTGGCAGTTAACCGGTTAAATCCAAAATCCTTGTTTTGGGCCTTTAATTTTTATTTTTTTCATTTTGGGTTTAGTTTTTATTTTTCAATTTTGGGTCCAAAAGAGATTATTTGGGCCTAAAAATTAAGAAAAACAACAATAATGAAATAAAAAAATATACAATTCGTCCCATAAGCATAAAAATACACATGTCGTCCCACAAACATAAAAATACAAAAATGATGAAGATTAAATTATTCAAATTGAACCCAAGCAAGCATTCATATTTGTCGGGTCCTCCGGGACACCGATCAGGTGCTTCACGTTGAGCTTTCCGCTGCCCACCTCCCGGAGCCCATCTTTCACACTTTGGTTTATGCCAAGTGTACTAGGGTCGGGCGCTATGACCTTTGAGACACCCTGCGTGAGATTGCCGAGAGTATGGAGGGATTGCCATGGATGGTTAGTGGCGATTTCAACATCTTTCTGCATCCAGATGAGCGTGTGGGTGGTCGCTCGGACAGGTCATGGGAGATGTGG